CCAGATTTCGGCTAAATTATTCTTGGCAGGACAAAACTTTTGTGAGGCACCTCCGTATGCAAACGAAACCAGAGGCGAAGAGGAGACCGCATCCAATCTTCTTCTGTCTCTCCATCTGCAGGTTCCAGAGGAGCCGGATGGGCAGGAACATGACTTTCCCCTTCTGTCAGCATGGACACTTGAAAAGAGGCAAATTTCGCGGACTTGAATACCATACCCATGAGATTTGTAAGCGTGTCGACAGCATACGCATAATATAGGTTCGCTGTCTGGCGGCGCGTTTCCGCAGGCGACGAGCACGCAATGCCTTCTTCAAAGAACTTCTTTGTATCGTCACACGCTAAGCCAGGACCTGTTATGATACAGGTCGCCCATGTCTACACAAGTGTCAGTTCTGCTCGCGCAAGACTCTTGGGTATGTGAGTTGTAGAGGCTACCCTTGCTTACCACGATGCAAAAGATCAACGTACCCCACCACGTCCACAGGTATACTTTGGGCATTCCCACAAGTAACTTTTTGTATAGCACTAACAGCGACAACTTGACAAACCAGAGACATGTCCAATACTCCATACCACTCTGCCACATGACCTTGGACGCGAACCTGATATCCGTCATCATGGTAGGCCATGGTGCAACAAGTCCTGCTTGAAGCGCCTGGATCTTGAAGAAGATGGGTGTGATGACTATGTAGAGTATTGCAAAGGCGAGATAGGCCAAGAAGGCGATGAAAAGCAAAATGTCTTGCGCTTCAACGGCTTTTCGTCGCCATGCCTGGAGAGCAACGCGCACCGCGAACACGGCCGAGGTCATAGCAACCATTACATAGTCGCTCCGGAGAAGATCATGCTGCGAGATCCAATCGGCACCCGTCGACATGATGTGCGTCAAAGACCCCGGGATGCATTCGGCATGCTTTTTTGTTCGGCGTTGTGTCGCAGGCGGCACCTTGTCACTGGATTCAACAAGGCAAAATGGCCAGGAGTGAATACTTCAGGCATGAGTCTCTAGGGGCGGACAATTTACAAACAGAACGAACGACCGGTAGCCTTATATTGAACAAGGTGCATATATAGTCTCGGAAAGATCCACATGCCTGTCAGATGCATGAACACCGCTATACGTGTAGGGCCTCCCACGTGTCTGCCGAGAGAAGACACTGGGGGATTTACAATACCCACAGCATCGGTACAAGGAGCCCGGGTACTGAAACTCGCTTTCCCAACTGTCTGTTCATTTTCACAGCGCTGTAGGCTCGCCCCTCTGTTTGCGACTCAGTTAGCCTGCGCTTGCAAGTCGGCAAGGCGTTGCAGCATGTGGACCAGTTCGTTGTGGAGGGCTGTAAGGGCTGCAAGTACCGTCATGGCCAAGGGCGGCCGGTGAGGACGCCTAAATAGACTCTGGCGCCTGTGCTCGCACATCTTATTCCTTTTTGCGAAGCCATGGCCTAATCAATCTCGGTATTTGGAGCAAAAAATGAGGCGCTGGACCCAGTGCCGCTATCAGAAGCATTGCAACCGGCCGATCGCAATTTTCTTCTTCACCTCTACCCATTACTGCGTTCTTCCAAAGGCAAACTCTTCAGTGCCTTCTTACCAACAAGGGCCTACAGCCGCGATCCATCAGGCTTCGGTAAAGCAAACCACAGCAGGACTAGTCTTATCCGTTTGCTGTGCCCGGCATAAGCGTACTATACCAATACGATGCTAAGCGTAGTGCGTGATGGTCATTGGAGACATGACAAATTGGCCGTGTCAGTGGCGTTGACGTTTCGCCCAAACGTTGTGATCATGATGGCAAAAACGCACGAGTGGTTCGCGGTGGCTGCTCTAACATGCACTTGCAGCGCCACATGCATGCTGTTATTACTAAGGACGATCCTTGATGTCGCGCAGGTCGCGTGTCGATATCCGAGAAGAGCTGTCATGGCAAGTCAGGCACAGCAGCCCCGAGCGAGTAGAAGCGATACGTCTATCACAATGTCCAACATGCCTATGTCGTGGACGCCCATGCAGCCTAACGCAATGGTTCAGTGCCGACGCCGTAAACTCAGAAACGACACGCGCGGATGATATCGTATTTAGCACGGCATGACTATCGACAGGGTACCGGCCTCTAGTTGACGGGCTACGCTGCTATTCGCGAACGCAGCGGCAGACATGACTCCCCTGTCCCCGCTACGGCAGCCTGCTCCGCCCAGACGAGTATGCTTCTGTTAGTCTACACAATTCGAGCCCATGTATGGGGAGAATGGCGCAAACCGCATTTAACCGCATCTCTTTCCTGCATTCCACTTGCTCTGGATTCTCGGTCCCTATCCAGGTCCGCAAGCAGCGACCATGAGATCCTTTCTTGCTGCTGTTGCTTCGCCAAATCTATTTGCGACGGGCGCGTGGGCAAGTCTGTTTGAGCCTGCCGACTTCAATGCGACCAAGGCGCTGCTTGACTACGGGGTTAATGTCACAGCTATCCCCGGTCTGGCACAACTAGCAGAGTTGTCTTCGTCCACCGCCTGTTCCATAGCAGTCAGTATTTTCAAGCGGTCATTGTAGCTTACCTGGATCATATGCTAATCATGTAACTAGTGCTCCACACTCGCATTTACTTTCGGTAACGGTAGCGTGCTTGGCCAAGGGAGTTCAGCGTACAAGAATTTCACTGGCGACTACTGGGCGGCCCAACAAGCAGTAGTCAGTCCATTGTGCGTATTTAAGCCAAATAGTGCCCCGCAGGTTTCGGTCGCTGTTTTACTATCGCGGCTCACGCAGTGCCCTTTCGCTATCAAAGGAGGTGGACACGCTGCGTTTGCAGGCGGATCTAGCATTGAAGGCGGTCTGACCATCGCTCTCGAGAGGCTGAACGAAAAGAAACTGTCATCGGATCAAAAGATAGCTACCGTTGGACCAGGAAATCTTTGGCGCGATGTGTACCCGTGGATCGAGCAGTATGGACGTGAAGTGATTGGGGGTCGGGTACGTTGCTGACTCTGTTCCATGGGTTCATTCCTCTCATACTCATCACATAATCTCGAGTCCTCTGACCATCTCTAGATATCCTCAGTTGGAGTCTCTGGACTGACGCTGGGAGGAGGTATTTCTCATTACGCCAATGCTTACGGATGGGCTTGTGATAACATCGATTCATTCGAAGTAGTGACCGCTTCAGGCGCCATCATCACTGCAAGCGCCAGAGAGTTTCCCGATCTGTACTGGGCTCTTCGCGGGGGTGGCAACAATTTCGGCATCGTCACTAGCTTCAATATGAGGACGTTCGTTCAAGGTCCCATGTGGGGTGGACAGCGTGCTCATACCGAAGACCAGTGGGGCAAGGTGTACCAAGCCTACTACAACTACGCCATGCATGCCGAAGAAGACACAAAGCAGGCCCAGATTGTCTCATTCGCGCTCCAGGGCGGCATGAAGATTGCAGCAGAAGATCTGGAATACTCTGAACCGACGCCATGGCCCGCTGTATTCGATGAATGGAAGGCCATTCCAGCAATCATTGACCAAACCGCCGTAGCCAACATGTCGACTTTGGCCAATCAGCTTGGTGCAGGGGCTCCTGATGGCGTGCAAGAGACATACTGGGACCGCACTTTCAAGGTAGACAAGGATATCTTCAAGACATTTATTGACATCTTTTTCGATATGCTCCCAGCCATTGAGGACGCCGCTGGTATCTTGCCGGTCCTCTCATTCCAGGCAATAACTGTTCCAGCCATGCGCAGGATGCAACAGAATGGCGGCAATGCACTGGGTCTCCATCCCGACGACGGACCGATCTTTATCTGTAACCTTGCCATCCTGTGGACAAATGCTGCGGATAATGCGCGCATCATGTCGTTCAGCAAGGAGCTGTACGAGCGTCTGATTGCTGAGGCTGAAGAGAAAGGGCTGAACAACGAGTACATCTACATGAACTATGCATCGCCATACCAAGACGTTATCAGCAGCTATGGAGCTGCCAACAAGCAGAAACTAAAGGGCATTGCGGCCAGGTACGATCCCACGGGCGTATTCCAGACACTGCAGCCTGGATACTTCAAGCTCGAGGGAGCACCCTATGGAGCGTTTTCTTCGTAGTGTACAGTTACGCAATGCACGCGTTCAATTCTACAAAGGAAACATAGTTTCAGCACAGGCATATGTCCTGTTTCAGCGGTTTGTTTTGTCTTGGACGCTGTCCCGGTGCACGTAGCTTGCCCGCCAGGTATCGCGTGGGCAGGGAGGCTGTTGCTGGGCGAAAGCAGAGGCGATGTGCCGGTAGGGCGAGCATCCGAATCAGCATCGGCCCGTTGCAAACCCTCCCTGAAGCGCTTTCCCAGTGGGGTGTTTGACGTCTGCGTGAGGCTGCCAAGCCAGGTGGTCCTAGCGCCCGCCCAAGCGTTTGCTGCAGCTGCCTTCCAGGTCTTTTTGTCCGCTTTGCGACCTTCCATCATCATCATCATCCATACAACCCCAACGACGGCCCACCACTTGTCTCAACCGCAGCGCCCGCAGCACCTCGACCTACATACGATACCCCTTTAGACGGCAATCATGTCTCGCGGCGGCGGCACTACGCTCTACGTCACCGGCTTCGGCCACGGAACGCGCGCTCGCGACCTCGCCTACGAGTTCGAACGGTATGTCTCCCACGCCTCGCCCCAGCCCGACCGCCCTCGCATCCTCCTCTGTCCTAGCCCCCGAACCTGTAGCTGCCTGCTGCCCACGCTTCGCGACGGTTGCGACGGCCCACGTGTGCAGCGCTGTTTTCTCTCTCGTTGCGCCTCAGGCACCACCTGCACCTAGTTTCGGCTTTTCTCACGCCATGGTCCGGATGTCCGTTCTGACAATACTCAAGATATGGCCGCCTGGTCCGCTGCGATATTCCGGCTCCCCGTTCGGCTTCGTCTAGGCTGTAAGTATACGGTTGCCCCCAGCCCACCACTCGGGCTCTAACAGATCAGCAGCTTTGCGTTCGTCGAGTACGAGTCTCGACGCGATGCCGACGATGCGTATCACGAGATGCACAACAAGCGCATCGGCCGCGACGATTTGTTGAAGATTGAGGTATGTCTAGGAAGCTGCTCGGACGCGATTGCATCTAACAGGCTGCAGTGGGCACGCACTCCCCCCTCGGCATCATGGCGCTTCGACTCGGGACGTGACCGTCCGCGTGGTGAGCGTTCTGAGCGTGGCGGTGACCGGGGCGACCGTTCAGACCGGGGCGATCGTGCGGACCGTGGCGTACGTTCTCCGCGCCGCCGCAGCACTTCTCCGCGCCGCGACCGTGGTGCTTCCCCTCGCAAGGACGACCGCCGCGAGCGCGACTACGACCGCCGTGACCGCGACAGGTCAAGGAGCCCCATTGACGGCGACCGGGAGATGAAGGACGTTCGCGACCGCGAAGACGACCGTGGCGACCGCGAGCGTGGCGACCGTGACGAGAGGCGCGACCGTGAGCGCGAGGCTGAGCCGGCCGCCGAAGCCCGCAAGAGTGAGACCACCGATACCCTTGACAAGGAAGCAGCAGTCTAATCCAAGCCACAGTCGAATCACCTCCCCCGGCCGCGCACGAAGACTTGGACGTAGCCGAGTAGGGCACGCGCTGTCGACTCACTCACTCTCCAGGCGACAGTTTCTGGACGACTGTCACCGTCTGCACAAGGCTAGTATTGACATGCGTGCTTAAAATTGGTACCTGCACAGTGTTTTTGTTGAGCGGAGAATGGCTTTCTGGGATCATGTTTTGTTTCTCCAAGTGGAGGCTAGAGTTATTCTATGTCCTGCCACGACATTAATGCATTCAGCAGTCGAAAAGCTCGATTCGGATCTTCTTTGGCGAACGGTCACGGCGATTACCATTCGGTTCGGTCTTCTTCTCGCCTTGTTTCGGTCGATCGGTCGGCATCGATGCGGTTCGAGTTCCTTGCCTCGTGTACACTATTCGGTCGGTCCGTAGCACCTCGAAGTCTTGCAACCTCACTCTGCCCCTCCTCGATCCCCCCCTCGATTTGCCTTCGATTTCCCTCGATCCCCCGTTCCGATGTCACCCTCACGCTATCTCGCGACGCCCTCCCCCCCATCCCGATGCGAAACCGTCGACAGGTCAGGTTTGTATAGTTTGCGTCTGCTAGATAGCGTCCCCCATGGTGCTTGTGCCCTGTGACTTGCGGTGTGTATGTATGGAGCAGCTCGAGTCTTTTTTTTCCTTGTTGCAATAGACAGATGAGGCTGCCGTTGGCGGCTTGTTGAGAGTGGGTGCATGTTTGTTTGTGACGTGAGGCGATAAAGTGTGTTTTTGCACAGGGCGCAGTACTACCCGCGTGGGCCAGGCATTGCGCGTATAGTGCGCCGGCCGACGTCACGATGTAGCGTATATGCGCCCTGACGGCTAAGACGGTGCCACGGGCGCGGCAAGGCTGCAAACGACGTGTGGCCAGCGGGTGAATGCTGACACACTGGAACAAAGGGGGCTTAGCCGAGCCGCCACGTTCGCTCAGCCACGCTCGTTCGTACGCCGCGACGTCTGGTGTGTGATCAACTCGGCCCTCATATTCACGCTGTCCACTTGGCTGCTGTGTTCCTACACTCCTTCCACATTCCCCTTTCCCCTTTCCCACCCTTCAAGCCCTCCTTTGCGCTGTTTTGGCTACTGTTGAGATTGCGCCATCCACGCACGCAGGCGTCTTGTACATACACTGACGCGATCTACACATAGCCGAGGCGACACTGCTCAGCTGAGCCGCCGAGCATAAGCAGCTGTAACGATCAGAGATCGCGTTGCCGTTTGGAGTCTTACTTGCACACTTGACACGCGATAACCTCCCGCACAAGCAGCAAACATGTCCAAACCAATGGTACGTTGCCCTTTGCGCTGATGAGCTGACGGCGACGGCCATGGCGACAGATGGTGGTGTCGCAGCGCTCGCACGTCTTGTTGCACATGTGGCGAAAAGGCATTGTACTGACGGACTGGCAGGACCAAGGCGCACCGCCGCAGTACCCTCAATCACCGCCGCCCATCCATCACGATGCTGGCCCGGCGCCCGGCGGCATGCAGCCGTCGTACTACAACCAGGGCGGCGGCGCGCCAGACTACTACAGCGGAACCCCCAACCCCTACCAACAAGGCGCGCCTCCGGGCCCGTATGGCCCGCCGCAGGGCCCGTATGGTCCGCCACAGGGCCAGTATGGCTACGGTGGACAGCAGATGCAGTACCAGCAGGGACCGCCACCGCCAGGCGGATACTATCAGGACGACAGGAGGCAGGGCGGCGGCGGCGGCGGCGGACTGCTAACGGGATTGTGCGCTGGTCTGGCGTGCTGCTGCTGTCTGGATTGCTTGTTCTAGACGGAGTGGCGAGAAGAGGGGGCACGGCAGGCCTGGATATCGCTTTGCATCAGAGGGCTTGGTACCACATGCGCAGGGGGAGGCGTTGGGGACACGGCGGCTTAATACTGAATGTTTTCTTTTGTTCCGGCATTAATCAATCCAAGACGGGGGGTAGACTAATCACAAGACACGACTTCTTTTGCGCACGTCGTATGGTTGCAACGCGCCGTTTAATCAAAGGCCCTTTGACGTTCATGCCGCTTGCATCCACGGTTCCCGACGCGGACTGACCGTGACGAGCTATTGATTGCTGCGTGTCTAGTCGGACCAGTCGCCGCATCATGGCGCCTGTCCTTGCCCTTATGCATGCCATGGACCCCACAGCGGAAGCCAGCGCCTGCAGCCAGCCAGCCGCGCGATGACATCCAAAGGCCACATGACAGTGTCGTGCCTAGGCGGCGGACCGCTTGTTTCAAGGTTTCCAGCGCGGGACCGGCGATGCTGACGCGCGTTGGCGCTCCGTCCCTCTGTCCCCCCGCATCGTGTCCATCGCAGGCACAGGCACAGGCGTGGGCGCAAATCAGCGGCCGTGCAAGGCACCGCGCGGCGACGGCGGCGCTCCACCAGCTGCCCAGCCAGCGCTACCCTTGCATATTAACTGACAAGAGATAAGAAGCAAAGATCTGCACGGTCACATCGCGCGGCCGCAGTGGGAGTGGGAGGCTGGTTTAGTCTGCGCTTGGATCTTCAGCCCGACCCCTCTGCCCTCTACCTACTTAGTATACATGCCCACCAGCACGCCGCCGCTCGACACCCAACGACCTGCCATCGTCTCTGCCGCCACCAACATACCCACGCACTCCCACCCAGCACAATGAAATTCGCCAGCTCCGTCGTTGCCGTCGTCTCGCTTCTCTCCGCGGCTTGGGCCATGCCGACAAACTCAAACTATACCAACAAACTACCCACATGCGGCGCGGTACGAGCCACTCATGTAGTCACAGTCACGCGAATACATGCTAATCAAAACCACCAGAACGAATGCCTGACAGACGGATACTTTGACGGCTGCGCGCCCGGAAACCTCGTCTGCCTTTGCAACTTGGACCAACCAGAAGTGGATCGCTATGTCAAAACTGTACAGCCATGCCTCGACGGCCCACCAGGCAAAGCCAGCTGCACAGCCGGAGCTGTTGCCAGTACGTGTTCCACATGGCCGCAATTAACAATGCCTCGTCATCTGACTCGCTCTACCAGACTACAAACAGTTGCTCACGTCCGTTTGCTGGAAGCCCGAGTACGGCAGCCTGAACAAGACGGTCGTGTGGGCGCCAACACCAGAGTCGACAACGTAACCAGCCACCATTCACGATCACACGTTTTTATGAAACAACAATCACCACCGCACGCCGCATATGTAATGGATAATGCACACTCCTTTGATGTTGTATTGACTTTTTTTTATTCATCGTTAGCCTTTCTTACCCTCTCTTGGGAACCGTCATTTTTCAAGGCGCAATCTACGGTAGATTGCTCCAAGGTGCATGCGAGAGGAGTTGGTGACACTGGCGTTCAAAATTCAATTTTTTTTGGGGGGTTCCTGGTCTGCCCGAAGCTGCTGGCTCGCCGGAGATATGTTTGCGATTCAACGCCTCGATTTCTCAATCGGAACTTGAGAGATTCACTGCTTATACAGCAATTCAAAGTCATGAGACAAGTTTACAACATCCCTTCACGTGCTTACGACCCGCCTCCTCTTGCACCCATTTCTTCGTCCCCGAGTCTTGTCCTGCCGGCTGTGCCGTCTCCTGCTGTAATGGACTCGACATCCTGTATGGTAAGAGGTTTCCTACTCGAATATCGCCAACCTGGCTGACGAACAAAGATATCTGATAAATGCAGGAAAGATGCGAAACGAGATTCCCACGCCGACGCAGATGGGCGTGAAGAGCTCAACTGCGAGACCCTCGTGCTCCAGCCTGGCTACTTTCGGTGCCTCTGTGCGAAAACAAAGGTCATGGGCCACAATGAGTACTTTTCTGCTCACTGTGTACTGCAAGAGTGCACAGACGACCAAAAGAGGAGGGGTAAGCCATGTGTGAATGTGTTGCTAGTGAAGGAGCAGGAAAGCTAAGACCAGATAACAGCGTTTCTCAGGCAGTACCAGGAGGGATGCAGGCAGATTGGCAGTTCACTGACCGACATTCCTGACGAATGGGGCCCATATGCAGATAATCTTGCATTGTTTTCATCTGCAGTTGCGAGTTCAACTGCACAACAGACTGCGACTACGAGCACTACACCAAGCCAGTCTACCAGTTCCAGCGCTCAACCAGACCAGACCAGGTCACTTACTTCCAAGACAGCAATGGACAAACCCACGTCAACGCAACCGGATACCGGCGAAACCACATCCAGTCTCGCTGATATCCAGATCCCTATCTGCGGTGTAAGTTCTGCGCCATCTTTTCAGATGTATGTAATCCTGACACGACCCAGATAACGCCTCAATGTATGACAGAAAAGCCAAAAGGCGAGCCCTCGTGCACTCCCTCGGACCTCGACTGCATCTGCAAGACCAGCCACTCGCTCGAGAAAAACACAGAGTTCAACCAGCAATGCGTCCTTGATACTTGCTACGGCGATATCGGCCGAGAAGGTACGCTAGAACCACGTATCAACTACAGCAATTAGACTCTAACAATCACTGCGCCAGAATTCCTAGATAACCTCATTTACCACTGCAAGAAAGTCGGCTACACACTCACCGATATCCCCAAGCGCTGGGAACCTTATCTTCCGTCTTCCTTTCCCACCACTACTTCCCCAGGCGCCCCAGTCCTAACTTCTCCTTCTCCACCATCACCATCACCCGCTGCATCCAAGAATAGCTTCGGCCCCAGCGCCATCGCAGGCACCGTCGTCGCCGCCACAGCCGTCCTCACCATCCTCCTGTGTCTCGCAAAACTCTACTGGAACACGCGCAAAAAAGCGTCGCGCCTCCGCGTCGAAAACGCACAGCTACACGATGCTACGAACCCCGAGGGCGTATCCCGCCGTATCACCGCCCTCATGAGCGGTACCTACACGCCTTCGATTGCGTCGGCGCGGCCTGCAGACGACCACGCTGTGCAGGTAACCAGTCAGACCGACGCGTACGGGCTTGAGGAGATACCGCCGTATCACGGGGTGGCTGGTGAGACTGAAGATGCGACTACGACGGTGCAGGAACCCGTATACGACGATTCTGAGAGTGACTATGGGAGTCTGCGGAGTCGTGCGTATGCAGAGCATGTCAGTGTGCATGTTCGTCCGTTGCAGATTGGGCATAGGCAGCGTGAAGCGCGTGCGGGTGCGGGTGGGTGGATATAAAGAGAGGTCTCAGTACTGTGTTGTGGCTCGGAGCTGGTACGGTTGCGCTGGTTGTGCGGTATAGCAAGGCTGGGTATGCATAAGGGGGGACTGAACTATGGGTTGCTTATGGGGATGCGGGAAATTCTCCAACGCGAGGATGCGTGGAGGCGTGCTTGCTGTAGATACTGGCTTGAGTAATTATTCGTTCATCCAACACAAGTCCTATTCTTCAAGCGTACCAGAATATCCCAAGTGTCACTCTTTATGTACGAGCGAGTGCATAATGTGCGTTATGTTCAGGGTGGGGTGTTATTGGACTAAGTAGCGGTGTTGGATGGGTAATGAGTGTTTTTTTTAGAGTATGGGGGTGTAGATGGGTGTGTATGAGTGTGTATCACAGCAACAATATGAACAAGTACACAAATGATAGGTGGGAATAGAAAAATGCACAAGCTCCTTCCCCTCCAAACTCTATCCTCGTACCCGCCCGCCTCAAGCTTACTTATATCTAAATTAGAGTTTTTTTTTTCTCGCTCCCATTCGTGTGTTCCTATGAACCCTACAAGTTGCATCTCCAAGCAACAGTCCCTTGTCTAGCAAACGCAATAATGCCCGATTTAATTGTTGATAAGGTTTCCAAAGACGTCATCAACACTAGCGCTTACTCAACTGCCATATAGCTGCAACATGCAGCGCGTACCCGCCGATTAGCTTTTCGGACTCGTACTCTAATTGGACGTCAGGCTAAATTATAGGCTGATGCAATACGTACTCTACTGCGTTGTGAAAGCCGCTTGCGTCCGCACGCTAAAACCACTCATTAAACAAATGGGCTGATACAATGGATCCTTCGGTATCTACGTAGTCTTGCGAGGCGAATCGTTATTTATAGGGGACACAAGACGCTGCTCTCATGTCGTCGGAATAAGATTCGGAGTTGCTACTTTAACCTCAACTACTTCTTATACCCGCAGCAGCAAGACCAACATGTATATCCCATTCAAATGTCTGTTAGTTGCTGCCTTGTCCGCATCCTGCGTTAGCGGACAGTGTTTGCGATCATACGGCACGTATACGGTTCGTCGCTACTTACTCAGTGCCGTTTTACTCGCTATCTCTCCTGTGAACCCTAACTAACACGCCCCCATGTTCTGGGCATGCAGTTCTGACGGCCGCAACAAAGTATGTAGAGACTAATCCAATGGAACCCAGCTATGTGTAGAATCTAATCGACTTGTATATATAGCTTACGTGTAATGGGTATCACGGGACGGTGGCGGAAGATTGCCATGCGAAGGGCCAAGTTTGCGGAACACAGGGGGGTCTCCTGTCTGGAGCCTGTACTCCTCATTAACGCGGGAAAAACATGGGATTAGGAGTGTAGCAGTGTGGGCTGGAGATGTTATTGGTAAATGAAGCGGTTTTTCCAATTCTGGTTTTTGTCATGGTAGAATATGGAGTACTAGGGGAACAAAAAAGTGTTCTTTGATATATCCCACCTCTACTCCTTACTACTTCAGTGCCTATAATTCATCTAACAACCTTGATCTAGTGACAATCCTCCAAGCTATTCTAATCCACCACCATAGTCCTATCCACAAAATAAAAATAAAACCTATTAGTTAAAAAAGCGTGTGCACAAATTAGTGACATGCGTATATGCCGCCTTCTCAGCGCCAATCTCAAGACACTTTTCACAGCGCTTGATATACCCCTTGCAGTTCTTTCTCGTATGATCCTGCCTCGCACAACGCGTGCAGTACTTGGCAATACCTAGACCCGGGTCGATACTGCTGCTGTACTTCTCCAGGTCATCCACCACGTCCTGTAGCGAGCGCCTCCCATGGCCCGGGCGTGGAAGCCTATTTTTCATGACCATTTGCACCGCTGCGATGATTGTGTACGCCGCATCGTTTCCCGCGGTGTGCGCATCACGAAACTGCATGCTACACTGCTTCGTCAGCACTTCAAGCCCAATCCTATCCCCCCTACCGCGATAGCCCTGCTCATTCGCGATATTCTGCGTATCGATGACGGCGACGACATTGCTCATGGCGGAGGGATCGATGTCGAGGTCTTGCTGCAGCATTTCCAGTTCGTTCTTGACTGCGTGGCCGAGGAAAACAACAGGGCACTTTGCGCCATTGGGCTGATCCGGGTCGAGGGGCCACGCAATGCAGCGAGTGAGGAACTCGGTTGCCTCGAGCTTGGTGGCGAAGCGCGTCGAGCCAAAGTGGTTGTTCTCGGGGTTTCCGGGGCAGAAGCGGTGGTTGATAAAGTGTGCAGTCCCTAGAATGCGCATGTGGTAGTAGTATATGTTTTTCAAGAGATTTTCACCGTGGAAACCAGTGCTCTTCCTGAGAACGGGTACCATTTCGCTGCGGGTAAAAGTGTGTAGACCGTATTCGGTCAGAACGCGAGGGTGGCTCTCGTATTTTTCACAATCCATTACCACGACAATAGTCGAGGCGGCTAGAGCTGGTGCTGAAGGGTGTTCAACACCTAGAGTGTATTCAAGAATCCGCGAGTTGGACATTCTGCGGAAAAAGTTGCGTACTTCCTCCATGGACGACTCGGGATCGGGGGAGTTGGAGCTTCGAGAAGACATTTTTGTTGTTTGTGCTTTTTTTTTCTTTGCCTCGACTTGACTTGGTGACTTGAGCAAGACGCGAGGAACAGGCTATCGAATTGGTCGTGTGAATCGGTTAGAGCAATATCTGGAAGATGATCGCACTATGCGTCTGCATGTAGATTCGAGTTGAGAGCTGTTTTATATCGAGGAGGTGGTACGTGGATCAAGTACGAAATGCTAAGGGGTTTTGTATGTACGTAGTCTGGCTTTTATGCTCACTGTGTACAAGTTAGTAAAGTACTTCAATAGAGTACCTATGCATAGTGCGCGCAGTGACTTCTTTACAGGAGAACTAGCCGATAGTAAAATTATTGTGACTAGCCGATAGTAAAATTATTGTGCAAGACTAAAGAAGGAAAAAAAGGACGACATCATATAAAAGACTGTTTGATAAAGGTACTGAAATTAACTTCTACACGCGGCAAGAGATGGGAACTCCTGAGCCAATACTGTGTGGTAAAAATTCTAATTAGCGTGGAGGCTGCATGGCTTCTACCACAAACACAGTAATTTGGAAGATTTCTCGCCAATAGAATGACGTCTTTTGGCAACTTGATGGCATTAGAGGCCCCAGATACGCCTGTCTTCCAAGTTTCCAAGTTTCATTGATTAAAATACTTTTCTTATCCCTGGTCTTAGTGCTGTGCAAATTATTATCTGTTCGTCGTGCTCAAGGTGTTGAGTATAGTGTACAGTGGCTTTACTGTTTCTTTCTGCAGCGTACCAGCCCCTTGTGCAGCCTGTTGAGTTAGCCTTCAACTCAATCAAAGAAATTTCAAATACTTATTATTGCTTGAATGTCTATCCTTTGTGGTCCACTTATTGTTTGTATTGTGTGCACCCTTCTTGAGCCTTCTATTTTGCTAATACAACATTATACATGACTAGGTAGATGTTTAACTCCCTAGTTTAACAGCCTTTAACCTTGGATATTGTTCGTGCACTTTCCTACTAGTACTACGAATGATAGCACATATCATGAAATTTGCGGCAAAAACTGAGATCTTATTTACAGATTTCATTTCAATCCTTAGTTCAAGCGCCACTTATCTACAACTTAGGTTGTCGCTAAACGACTGGAAATGCGAGGTAAGGGCCTTGAAAGGTTGAACTACTAATTTCGCTAGGTACGCTTGCTTGTAATCAAATGCATAATTTATAGCTTAGAAGAGTTATCCAGGGATGGATAACAACCTAGTGTCAAAGTCTGGACCTTATGACGATGGTAGTATCATCCAGTATTGTGAAGAGATCACAGTCTATTGTGGGTATTGATTTGTGGCTAACAAGGGCAAGTAGGAATATTTGTCGTTTACGTGAGGCGACCCTATCTAACATTGCTAAAGCGCAAAGAATCTGTATGCAATCAGAGTCCTCATTCACAAGTGTTAGAGTAATAGATAGTAGAAGCAATGTAGCCACGGTTGGGTGGTATCAGTTCATTACGTCATGCGCTAATCTCATTTACCTCGACTCGCAGACCCCTCCATCACCCTCTCACAAACACGGACTTTGGCGTAAGCGTCTATCAATGATTCACGACAAACGACGCGCAACCCGCCAAGAAGCCATCTCCTCTCTAGGGAGATGACCCGTCCGGATACCGACTACAGCCATGGAGCTAACCACGGTCATCCGCCAACATTAACGCGACCTTCCACTTCCGGGCGTGCCGGGGCCTGGCACGAGACGATGCATGGGCTATGTAATATGATCGGTCATGTGCCTCAGACTCCCAATGCTTGCCTCGGTACTGTAGGCGGGGCCGGTTTACTAGCAAGCCGCTTCTCTTGTTCTTCTTTGGATAGCGTATCCCATTCAGCAACGTTCTTGTCCTTGACGAGGGTTAGTATCGATCGTCAGAAGCTTTGGGCGATATTACTTACCCATTCGTCTACGCATTCCCGTTTCCAGTTGCAGTGCTCTACCTCGCCATACATGGGGTGGTTCCGGCGGGGATGGAGAGCTGGCCAGCCCGAGGCATGGTAGTGGTGCTTGACTAGCGCGCCTCTGGAGTCGTGGTTACCGGAGTCGGAATGTCCTTGACCCGCTGCAAAGGCTTCAACATTGAGTACGAGGATTCCGTTGACGAGCCTGGATTCGGCCAGGTTATGGAAGAGATCCCAAGTCACTGGATTTCCGTTGTTCTGTGCTGTCATTTGTTGCAATACAGCCTTGGTAAACGCCGACGGTCCCGTACCACCGATGACTTCGTCGAAATCCAGTTGAAGCTGAGATATGGGCACGTCTTTCTCTTTGGCTAGCTGATGTATCCAGTCTTGTATGTTCTCGATGAGCCTCATCATGACCGGAAGCCTCGGCTTAGCAGCAAAAGTCCATTGGCAAAACGACTTGCACTTGCCCCCAAGAATCTCGTGGTCGGCAAATGTAGGCTCATCGATCTCTACACCAATGATCATGTCGATATCTGGCTCGTTGTATCTTTCGGGGATGAAGCGATTGATCGGTCGTAGGCACTCGACGTCAATGTCGGCATACACACCACCTTCGGCGTACATGACAAGGTAGCGGAGCAGATCGGCCTTTATAATGGTAATGTTGAGCTCTTTGTAAAGATCGACGAGATCTTTCCTGCCAAAGCCATGGGAGCCATAGTGCCACTCGAGGTATTCGTTTGCGTTGTCGTCTGTCAACACCTCGTAGCGGTACGTGGGGTTCTTTGCAGGCCAGGTCTTTGCCGAATCCGAGTCGCGCTGCTCAAAGCCTAGAGGACCGACCTTCCACGTCTGCCAGATCTTCCTGGGTATAACTGAGCCTGCGGCTTGCAGGGGCTGCTGGTATTTAAGCTCGCGTTTGTATCTGCTCGCAGCCCGAATAGGAGTGGTGAAGAACTCGGTGTGGGCGAAGAACAAGAAGAGAAAGATTAAAGCAAGATACGCCGGCAAGACTCTCCGCACCTGGCTGGTGAGCTTGCCAGAGAAATGCGACACTATTGGGGAACTTGGACGCATTGCGATCTTCAGGTGTAGCTTGGGCGGCGGTGGCCTCGGTCGTGTGCGCATGCTGGAGTTATTACAACATTACGAGCCTGCCAGTTCGACCCAGCCATCCCACAGCCTATGAGTGATCATCTCGTTAAGAAACCTAGACTGTGGGCTTCCCGTCTACTACATGACTAGGACAACGCCTCCACCAATTAACTTTTCCACCTGCATCCTCGGCACACAAGCCCGTATTCACATGCATGGCCAGCTTCATGAAAAGAGAACGCCGCCCCGCACGTGCATTGGGAGGCTAAGATAGACCCCTGACTTGTGGGTTACAACGTTTGGCACCAAGGCGGCTAAGCTAAAGCTTATAACGTAACCCCCTGCAAGCCCGTCGGTGGCTTGGATGAGTTAGGCATGTGTGCCTTGACAGCCCCTGCATGGTACCGAATGTGTAGAGGATAGTCCAATTGGATCGCCTAGTCAGGTGCTATTACCGTCAACATTGCCCGCGCCCCCGATTAATGCGGCTGCATGCTCGCCGTCGCATCACACTGGATTGTGAATGCGATATCATTTGTGCAAGTTATGCAAGCATTGTCATCACGTATGCTTTCCACCCTTCCATCACTGCGACGAGGGTCCATGGGCTCTTCAAGTATCCAGTATTGCTCGCTCCTCTTTTAGCTTTCGAGACCTCACCCACCTCCATCCCACTCAGCACAATGGCCGGCAAAAACGACGGGCTGCTGGGCCACGGAGGCCTCGAAGACGTCAAACTCTCGCCCTCAATCTGGAAACCGGTTCGAGCAGCCAGGTGGAGCCTCGATCTTGTCCGCCCAGAATTCCTCTCCTTGCGACCGGCCCAAAAAAGCAGACTGATACGACCGACAGCATGGCTGGATGGCCTGCGAGGGTTTGCGGCATTCCTGGTATACATCCATCACAACCAGCTTTGGGCACACGGAGACCGCGGAAACGAAATACTCGAAAACGCCTACGGCTATCAGGGAAAACACTATTTTGCAGCCCTCCCTTTTGTCCGCGTATTCTTTTCAGGCGGGCACTTTGCAGTCGCCATCTTCTTCGTTCTATCTGGCTATGTGCTCTCTCTCAAGGGCTTGCGGATGATCCAAGATGGCCACCACGTAAGCGCTGCCGACAGCATTGGTTCTGCCCTCTTCCGCCGCTGGCTAAGACTCTATCTGCCCATCATTGTGGTGACATTGGCATGGATGTCTATCCGTTACTGGAGTAAAATGTGGGTTGATCTTCGCCCGATGGAAGACACGTATCGAAAAGAACTTACAGCCTGGTACCGACTGTTCAAGAACTACAGCTTCGTCTTCTCCACCGACATCTACGAGTTTCCCGCACAGTTTCACGCACACGCCTGGTCCATACCGGTTGAATTCAAGGGATCCATTATCATCTACACGGTACTGTCCGCGCTCTCTAGGTGCAAGAAGAATGCTCGTCTCTGGTGCGAGGCCATTCTGGCCTTCTACTTTCTCTACATCGTGGACGGCTACTATGGCGCAATGTTCATGTGTGGAATGCTGCTTTGCGACCTTGATATGCTCGCACAGCAAGACCAACTGCCGCGCGTCTTTTCCATGCTGGCGGAATTCAAGGAACTGATCTTCTTCCACTTTTTCGTCCTCTCGCTTTATCTCGGCGGCGTACCTTCCTTCGATGCGCCTGATCTCGACCGCACCGCTCTTCTCGCCAAGTCACCGGGATGGGTCTGGCTGTCTTATCTCAAGCCTCAGGCGGTTTTCGATGCAAAGTGGTTCTATCTCTTCTGGGCAGCACTCGGTACAGTTGCATCAGTGCCTCGATTGCCATGGCTCAAGAATTTCTTCGAGACGCGCTTCTGCCAGTATCTTGGTCGGGTATCGTTTGCACTATACCTAGTGCATGGCATCGTTATCTGGGCCCTCGGAGACCGGCTATACGCGTTGGTGGGGTTGACAAGGTCTGCGCATGCAGAGGGCATCCCAGATTGGGTCAACAAATTCCCACTTCCTGTCAGTGGCCCACTGGGGTTGGAACTTGCTTTTTGGCTGCTACAGCCCATCATGCTGGGCGTCACACTGTATTTTGCCGAAGTGGTGACCAAGCTGGTCGACGAGCCAAGCGTCAAATTTTCCAATTGGCTCTACCAGAAGGCGCTCGCTCAACCGACCAAGATGCCGGGACACCAGCGCAGCTACTCTACACGATAGAATGGGAGGCGGTTTGTAGCGAGCAGTTCATTCCATAGCCAGCCACCACTTCTCCTTGAAACAAGTAATTCCTTTTGGAGTATGGCTATCCCATTTCCGACGCCAACGCCATGCCCTCGTGACCCCAACAAACTTCAGCTTCATGTGACGCCTGTATACCCTTGATACGCCATCCCGCAGCCGACTACTGCAGGTGCTGGGAAACGAGCGGCGCCACATCCTAAGCGCCCTAAGGTATCAGTAGGCGTATTGCCGCTCGAATCAGGCCTTCGCTCCGTGCCCAAGGTCCCCATGGGGGGCCTTTTGTTGGCGATGAACCATGGCCCCCTGCCCAGGCGATGATCGTTACGACTATGCGTCGGCAAAAACCAAATCAGGTACCAACACCGCACCAGCTACCACAACCCTTGCCGTTGTGATGGCGTGGCCTGGCTTGAAATATCGCAGCTATTCGTCCTGGCTTCAAAGAGGGGGTTGCATATTGCTGCCCTTCCGCTGCATCCTCGGGATCTGCTCTACCAATGCATGCTCAGTCATCCTACGCTACCGCGATTCAGCCCCCAATACATGTCGTATTCCAAAATTGCCGCAGCTGATTGCACTTGAACCAACGTGGGAAGCCTGCCCGCAAGGCCTTGTAACATAGACCTTTGTTTTTTGCATTTTGTTTTCAACGTCACCATGAGGCGGCGGCACAACATTGCGCTGGCTACCATTGCCTGTCTCGGCACCATCTACTTGGTCGCGCAGCACCGCCAGGGATTCCAGCATGCATACGGTAGATACGGTGCCCATACGTCGTATGATGCTGTTGAGAGCAAAACTGGGATCGAAGTGCTGCCTTCGGACCTAAACCCTCCATCTCCATCCGATGCGTCTCCGCAGCAAAAACCCAAAGAGCACGTGACGTCCAACAATTCACCAGCTCAGGATGTCTCAGAAAACAGTGCTTCGACACTACCTCCAGCAGATGCCCAACCCCCTCCAAGTAATTATCAAGATCAAACCGTCATAGAAGCAGAGTATTCTTTCCAGAAAGACCTCGACCTGCTCCTCCCACTCCCCGCACTCCAGCGCTTCAGCGACTACAAACCACACAACTATGTCGCGGATAGTAGTACACCCAAATACGCATATGCAACCTTCCTAGCGACTCGAAACCCCTCGCTCAAAGACCCATACTTCCTCGCCATCCACTCCCTCATCCACCGCCTGCTCTGGTCCCCCAAGTCGCGCACCCAAAAACACCCTTTCATCGTCTTTGTCGCCGACTTCGTAACCCCCGAGCAACGCGCACTACTCTCCGGGGCCGGCGCTCTCATCCGCGAACTCGCGCCCATCCCCTGGACGCCCAATGTGGCCGGCGTACAAGCCCGATGGAAAGACCTCTTCGCCAAACTCAACATGTGGCGTGAAACCGAGTTTTCACGCATCCTGTTCCTCGACGCCGACGCCTTCCCACTGCAGAACATGGACGCCATGTTCGATCTCCCCCCGCTGAGCCAATGCATACCCGAGAACCTGCATCTGGACGACTTCCTTACCGACGGCCCCGTATGCGAACCCTACGTCTTCGCCGGGATCCCTCAGGACCCGTTTAGCGCGGACAATCCCAACCTCAATGTCGGCGCCATGGTGTTTTCCCCCTCACAACGCATGCACGCGCGGCTGCTGCAGAACTACCCCAAGACAGACAAGTACGACTGTCTAATGGCCGAGCAGGCTTTTCTCAACTGGCAGTTTGGCCCGCGCTCCGCGTTCCCGGCTACACGGCTCGACCGCACGTGGGGCGGTTTCTTCCCGCAGGAGGACGAGCAGGCCAAGTTGAAGGTCGTGCATGAGAAGATTTGGGTTGCCGACAAGGGATGGATGAAGGACGAGTGGGAGCAGGGCTGGAGGGATATGATTGTGTTTTATGAATCGCTGGAATTCGTGAGTGAGAGGGAGAGGGATGGGAAGAGTGAGAAGATGTAATGATAATGTTTACTTATGTGTGCGATAGAGTTTATAATCATTTGCTAGTAAATGGGATGGGGTTCTAGTCTGAGCCGAATAGAATGGTTTGATGCTGACGATTTCAATGTTTGCAACTTTATCCACTCATGTTCTTTTATCCTATAGCAGTAGGTCAAGTCGAGACATCTCCATGAGAAATTCATGAAGTTCTCCCCCGTCGCTCAAAGCTGATACCCCGAGCTTTCAAAAACCCATTCCCCACTGTGGGTCGAATATTTCCCGAGGCTATACACCCGCATCATATTGACAGGCTTCAAATCCTATACTATCAGTGCACCACTTTAGCCCCTGAGCATCATGAGTCGCAATAGAAAAACGCTATCGCTGTATTGAACAGTAACAAAACAAGTCATGACTACACATACTCATCCCATCTAAGCACTTGCTTCAGCCGTACTCTGTCGCTCTGCTATACTGCCTCCCCTCCAACTCTGCTTCGGGTCCTTCTTCTGCTGCACCCTGCTCTCCTCGCCCTCCTTTCCCCATCCGCCGCCTCCAGGCGTATGAATGATGATGCGCTCGCCAGGCCGCATGCTGGCCGTGTTCTTCGCGCCGAGGTTGATATACCTGTACTCGATATCATTGTTTCCCCTTGCGGCATCCCTCCTCTCCAGGGCATCCACGTCGCCAACCACTATGGGAGCAGGTGCGTCAGATCCTTGAGACTCGGTGGGTTTCTTTGCATCCGAATTCTGATCAATAGCCTTCTTATCGACTTTGCGGGCCCATATGTTGAGTCCGCAAGCAGCGTCACCTCCACCTGCCATTCCGTATGGGTGGTAGATTCTTCGTTCGCTCAGGATGCTGACTTGAACTGGGATGCGGAACTCAATATCACGAATCACTCCCTCGCCACCGATGTGCATTCCCTTTCCTGCACTTCCTTCTCTGAGCGAGAATTCTCGAAGCAGGACAGGGTATCGGCGCTCAAACACCTCCGAGTCGGTGATGCGAGTGTTGGTCATGTGAGTGTGCACTCCGTTGGTACCGTTCCATGTTGGACCTGCACCAGATCCTCCTGCGATGGTCTCATAGTATCCAAATCCCTTGGTCTCTTTTCTTTCTCCACTCTTGCCGCCTTCTCCGAATGTTGTACCACCAAAGCCAAAAGTAAGATTGTTGGTGTCACCTTGGCTGGCAGCACAGGCGCGGAAGGCTTTCAATACCACGTCTGTTACACGCTGACTCGTAAGTACGTTGCCTCCGACAACAGCCGCGTTGTCCGAGGGCGAAAGGAAAGACTTCTTGGGAATGAGAACATGGATCGGCTTCAGACAGCCTTGGTTCAGCGGGATATCCTCACTGATGAGGCAGCGCAAACAGTAGATGATGGCCGAGTAGGTCACAGCTTCAGGTGCATTGATGTTTCCGTAGACCTCTGCACCCGTGCCTGAAAAGTCAAAAACGGCTTCACCCTTTTCGGGGTCGATGGTGACCTTGAGGTGGATAGGGCTTCCGTCATCCATAAACTCTTCTGCGCTGAGGTCTTGGCCCTCGAAACGCTTGTATACGTCTTTGAGGAGTGATCGCACAGACTTCTCAGCGTTGGTTTGGATGTTGGTCATGTAAAACTTGACAACTTGCTCGCCGTAGTCGGACATGAGTGTACTGATGAGGTTGATACCCTTCTGGTTAGCGGCGATCTGGGCCTTCAGATCGTTGATGTTATCGCTGAGGCATCGAGTGCCAGAGCAACCAGGGTACTGGCCCGGTTCGTCGAGCAACAGCTCAGTGATGCGCTTCTCATTAAAATGACCCTCTGATACGAGCTTCTCGGATTTGATGGCTGCGCCTTCTTGGTAGAGTTCCTTGGAGGCTGGAGGCATCGAGCCAGGAAGGATACCGCCAATATCAGCATGATGCGCACGAGACGCCACATAGAAGACGATGTTATCTCCACTGAAAGCTGGCGTAATCACAGTGATATCCGGCAGATGTGTTCCGCCAAACATTGGGTGGTTGGAGACTAGCACGTCTCCCTTCTTCAGCTTGCCTTTCCAGATAGCGGCTTGCTTGCGGACACAGGTCGACATACTTCCGAGATGCACGGGGAGATGTGGCGCTACATGTGCGTTAGCTTTGTCAAATCGAATAAAAACACAACTGACCGTTTGCAACTAGTCCGCCCTCCTCGTCGAATAATGCGCAAGAGTAGTCCAGTCGTTCTTTGACGTTGGTGGATACACTAGTCTTTTGCAGCGCGCGACCCATTTGCTCAGCAATAGCCATGAACCTATGGGCAAAGATACTGAGAAGAATTGGATCCACCTCCTTGGTGCTAATCTGCTTCTCTTGCTCTTCAGCCTCACCAATGTTAATAACAACGTGCGTGTTGATGATGAGCGCGCTAGCACCGGGTGTTACGACGATAGTCTGTGTACCATCTGCAATGATGGCTGGGCCCTTCAGGCGATCGCCAACCTCCAGGTCTTCGAGCTTGTAGACGGATGTGTCTTGTCGACCACCCTCGAAGAACACCTTGCGAGTGTCATAACGCTTTGTGTCACCTGAAATATCCTTCGGCTTGATTTCCTTCAACTGCTGATCCACGGTTTTTTCCAGCCCCTGAAAGGTTTTCCCGATACCTCGGGCCCTGACATCATCCACAATGATGTCGCGATCTGGTAGCGTAAAGCCGAACTCTTGCTCATGCTGCTTAACAAAAGCTTTTCCAAAGGCCCATTCGTCACCATCATATTCTTGCTTGGCCTCTTCCTTTGTTGGCTTGATGATCATGAGCGCTGACTCGGTACCTCGGTAGCGCAAGTTGAGATACTCTTCGAAGTGGATGTTCTCCTCGTCAAAGCCCTGTTCTTTGAGAGAGGCTGTTGATTTGCTCTTCAAGTCGGCCATCTTGCTCTGTAGGTACTCCCTGACGTCCTTCTCATCAGACCAGACCTTCGACTCTGGTTCTTGCCTCTCATCGACGACATCGGCGAGGGCCATACCATATGCAGAAAGTACTGATGTGTATCTGTGAACCAAAATCTGCGAGATGCCAAGTGCTTCGGCGATGGCAACCGCGTGCTGTCCACCAGCGCCACCGAAAGTCGCAAGGCGATGCCTGGAAGTATCATGGCCACGTGCTTCGGTCAAACTGCGGATTGGGCGTGTCATTGTCTCATTCGCAATTTTTATGAAGCCATTCGCAATGTCATCCAAGGACATTTCCTTATCCTTGTTGCCTCCGGCAATCTCTTTGTTGATCTGCTCTGCCAGCTCCTTGAACAGCTTCTCGCTAGCCTGCGCATCCAGACCCTCGTCCTCATTCTTTCCAAAGATCTTAGGGAAGAAGTCGGGTAGTAGCCGACCGAGGAACAGGTTGGCATCCGTGATGGTCAGTGGGCCGCCTTTCCGGTAGCATGCCGGGCCTGGATGTGCGCTTGCTGATTCTGGGCCCACGACAAATAGCCCGTTTTTCCAGAAGAGACGCGATCCGCCACCAGCGGCAACTGTGTTGATATCGAGCTGTGGCGACTGGATAGTAACTCCAGCAGTCGTAGTCTCGAAGACGTGATCGTAGCGTCCAGCGCCATACCGGCTCACGTCGGTACTTGTGCCGCCCATGTCGAAACCAATAACGGGTATCTTGGTCTCCGGGTCATAGGATGTCAGTGCATAGCCTACAACACCTCCAGCAGGTCCTGATAGAATGGCTTTGAGTCCGGAGAACATGTCGACATCTACTAGACCGCCGTCGGATTGCATGAACTCGCATCGCGCACCCTTGGAGCCTGCTTCGTGCTTTACGCTTTTGGTGCCCAGCCCACCTTCAAATCCCTTAGAGAAGCCATCAATATACTTTCGTATCGCAGGTGTGAGGTATGCATCTGCACAAGCAGATGTCGCTCGGGGCACCAGCTTGATCATGGGCATGAGTTCGTGGCTTAAGCTGACATGTTCAAAGCCGATTTCTCTGGCAATCTTGCCCACTAATGCTTCGTGCTTTGGATATGTGTAGCCGTGCATCAAGCAAACGGCTATACTCTTCAACCCACTATCGTACACATCCTGGAGTTGCTTCCTGATTGCTTCCTCCTGCGGTCTTTGTAGTATGCGGACTGTCTCGCCCGACAAACCCTTGACCAGCTCGGCGCCGTCTCCAGCCTCTTCAATGCTCGCTGCCTGGGTCTGGTGTCGCTCTGGGTCTTCGGCGTAGTCCTCGAGCGTGACTCGCTCATCAATCTCGACGACTCTTTTGTAGAGAACCTCGGGCTTCCGAATATCCAGCGCAAATATGTTGGGCCGACTCTGATTGCCAATTTCAAGACAGTCCTTGAAACCCTTGGTGACCACCATGGCGATATCCTCGCCCTTGCGCTCCAGCAGCGCATTTGTCGCAACCGTCGTGCCCATTCGTATGCTCTCGATCTTGGATGTGTCGAGGGGCTGCCCGCGGGGAATCTCAGTGCCAGTGAATTTGGAGAGGAGGCGGCGTATACCCTCGAGGGGCGCGTCGTCGTAGTTGGATGGGTCGACCGAAAGCAGCTTGATAACGACATCGTCTTCCATCTTGCCCGTGCCGGGATTGCCCACGCAATCTGTAAAGGTACCGCCACGCTACATAATCAGCGACTATTTCCAATGCATGCGCTTCAACGTAGAAGAACTACATACATCAATGGCGATGCGGATTCCCCGCTTGCTAATTTCTGGCGTAGCCATGGCGAGGTTTGACGTTTATGTCGCGCGTTGAAGGGATTCAAATGACTGTTGAAACGCCTCTTGGAGGCTAGAGAAGAACACAGAACGGTGGAAAAGGACCGGGGTATACGCAAAAAAAGGAATGCTGGTATCGCATGCACGTAATCGGCTGTCGCGACCTTTAAGTGGGGTGCTCATTGCTACCCCGCGGCGGCTTTTGTCATCCCCATCATGTCATCTTGACAGCCAAACTTCCTAAGCACGACATCGGTTGCCGACAATGGTGGGCCCGGCCTGCATGTGCAGGGGTATCGGCCTTCATGCTGGATTTCCCGATCGATAGGACAAGGCAATGCTCGAACTGGCAATAAGATCAGCTCCCTGTGCTCGTTCCAGGGAGATAAGTATCCGGTGACTCTTGGATGTTTTCCTGCTTATCTTGATTGATTGACTTAGAAATGGGATCCATGTGCGATTTGGACGCCGCGGGCGGCATACCAACGGTACGGGCCAAACTTGAATCCAAACCAGGAACATGGCTGATTCGGTGACATAGAGTTGGACTAGGCTGGTACGATTTATCGCCGAGGAAGATGATGCCGAGCATATTGGTGAACCTATCGATTCAACCATTGATGGTAAGCCGGTCATCCAACATTCTTCTTCACCTGCTAAAATATGGCCCAGTCGGCGCAGCCCTGGCATCAGGAGCGAAGGTTCAAGTTCGCCTCTTCACAGGATCATCAGTTCTTTCACCGAGAAACGAACCAACCAAAACACTCCTGACAATCTCGAAACTGCTTCCGCCGCTCGCCAAAAACGAGATAGGTGCCATTCGCTGTGTAGGCTTGAACTACCGGAAACACGCAAAAGAGATGAACCTAGACCTGCCCGACCATCCCACACTCTTTTTCAAACCGTCAACATGTCTGGGCGCACCAAATGCTCCGCTTTTGATACCGTACCAGGCAACAGATGGTCAGGCCGACTATGAGGCCGAACTTGCAGTAGTCATAGGTAAAGCAGCGAGGAACGTGAGCAAGGAGAGTGCAATGGACTACGTGCTGGGATATACATGCTCGAATGATGTGACAGCAAGAGTTCATCAGTTCAACGGCGCCCAGTGGGGTTTTGGCAAAGGATTCGATGGCTTCGCACCACTTGGGCCTTGCATCGTATCTGCCGCTTCAATACCTGATCCGGGCCAAATCGAGTTGAAGACAGTTCTGAACGGCGAGACAATGCAGTATTCGCTTGCAAACGACATGATCTTCAGTATTTCCGACATCGTGGCTTACCTCAGTCAAGGAACAACGCTGGATCCAGGGACGGTGATCATGACGGGCACTCCGCACGGCATTGGAGTGAGCAAGATACCAAAGGTGTGGTTGAAGCACGGCGACGATTTGAGGATTGTCATGAGTCATGGGTTGGGAAGCTTGGTGACACCAGTTGAATACGAAGCGCAGCCCAAGTCCAGTTAGATGAGGAAAGCCTTTTTTTCTTGGATTTGAGGCGTAACAGGATATCCAGATCGTCGGCTTAGATGCTCTCCAAGCGTTTTTCACCAGCTGCTCGAGCTTTGAAATGTGCGCAGGTTATGACTTTCCGATTGCACGGTCGAACAGACTGAGCATGTATATAATAGCAATTGAAATTCATGACAGCCCAAATACCCTCTGTTCCTGAGTTATACTATCCAAAACATGTTCCCATTGCTGCAAATCCGTAGGCAAAGATGGATCACCCCAAGGAGGCGCCTGCCATTGGAAAGGTCTTCCCGGACCAAAGTTCATAAGCCCCGAAATTGCATCGAAGCTGTCTATCATGTTCGGCGAAACCAGGTTGTCGTGGTTTTCGTTGGCTTGTACAGCGGCCGGAGGGTCCTCCGCTATGTCAGATCGCGTTTCAAGCGGTACGCTCGCCCTGGTGCTGCTACCACGGTTTTCGCGAAACTGGGTTGCCTTCTTGATGCAGAGCTCAATGATTTTGACTTCTGCGAGTGCAAACTCATTCAGCCAAAGATCCGCGCGCTGCATGTCGCAATACGCTATGAGATCCTCGAGTATAGCATCGCATTTATATGAATGCGGGTCTTTGACAGCAACGATTCCCAAAACCAATGCGCTATTGAACAGATGATGAGGGCCTAGGCTCCATTTCAATCGATCATTCAAGGGCTGTTGGAAGTAGTCGATACGCATAGCCAAGTCAGCGCAGGCCGACGAGATACAAGCATCGTGACTATGTCGGAAGCGATTTGTGATACTCTGGCGTAACAGATACGGGCGATGGAGCGTGACGCGGGCGAAGTGATACATGGAGTGAAGGTATAGCCGGTTCCAGCGTAGAAATCGATGCATTCCATCTTGCGACGTGTCCGCGTCTTCAATACGATAGTATTTTGGTAGCATGGCTGCCCAGTCACGAATATCTTCGTCTAGGGAGAGAACAGTATCGTAAGCAGCTACGGAGAGTCCAAAGCAGCGCTCTTGTATGTTGCCGACAATTTTTGCCAAGTCATGCGCAAAGAAATTGTAGACACTCAAGGTAGGCTCAGATAGAGGCAGCACGCGCAGGGTTGCGGCACGTTCATCTGATTCATCGTCCAGCCATATATTGGTTGCCTTCTGGACAAGGCATTGCTGATCGACGATTGCAAACGGACGCCCAATGGCCAACGCAATGGTCTTGTCCAAAGTGTACAGATGGCTCCAGAGTCGTCTTCGAGTCTCTGTTTCTTTGCGTGGCAAGCGCCATCGCTCGCCATCGATATGCATACCCTGTGCCTGGGCCATGCGCATAGCAAAACTGGTAGTCAGCCAGGACTCTGGTACTCGTCGCATGTGTATGAGATAGCGCGTGACCAAGACACCAGCGCGGACAAGATCTGTCGACTCGCCATAGAAAGTGGGCGCGATTACGATGGCTCGTCGAGAAGCCCAATAGAAGCGAAGCGAAGTTTCTTGCAAGTCTCGCTGGACTTCGGCGTTCTTGGGGTGTGGACAATCGAGGAAGACGCCATAGGCGAGAATGATGAACAGCAATGCCAACCAACGCAAGTCGATCGAGGCGTAGTCATCAAAGCCAAATTTGCGCTCCCAGAACGCGTCGTACTTTGCCATGAACGAAGCAGGGTGGATCGCATCAATAGACCAGTTCAGCTCAACAACAAAGACGTTTACAAGCCGATCGACACTGGCCTTGTGTCGAGGCAGTATGCCCAGCAGATCCCAGATTTGCGAAAAGGGGCCGCCGACGTCGCGAAAAGATTGGGTTGAAGCAGCTGCATGGCGAATGCCGGACGAAAGATCTGGCGCAGGCTCTTCGATTATTTTGGCTGCAGCCTGGGGTCCAAAGTAGGATGAACCGAAGAAGGACGGCGCGTCTCTGTTGCGGAAGAGGTTTCCTACCTGTGCATCTCTGGGTTCTGACGAGGTTCTATTTCCTGACGCTCCAGCCTGGGTATCTTGAAGAAGGTATCAGTGGGAGATCCGGGCAAAGGAATGCACATAGACGTGAAGCTTACGACTCACTTGCAACAACGTGGGTGATGTCCCGGTTGGCTGACGATGCCGTAGCAGAAGAAGAAAGATGGATTGATTGCCGCCGATGAGCCTCAGCTTCTTGGCTGTATGTGCATGCTAATGCTACATCGCGCCGCGTGCAGTTGAAGCATGGCAGTTCTCCGTCACACTGGGTATCTCGTTAGCCGCGGGCCACTTGCCCTGGACCAGCGCCAGGATGCGGTCGTGAAGTGGCACATATCGCTAATCAGATATGTAATGGCGAACACCAGGGGTTTGCGAATGTCGTGACATATCATACATGCCTTTTGCTTTCTCCGATGACATGTTTGACAGCTCCTAGCCTGCCGTCCTCTTTTCCTCTTCTTGCCCAATGGACCACCCTCAGCTTGCTCCACCTGTTCTTGCACAGGCGCGTCCATGGTCCAGCGCCGCGATACGCAGATGATGCGGATGAATTTGCCGATAAGTATTCGCCTGGAGTGGATATGGAGATTGTGAGTAATAGATAAGGCCGGGATCGGGATAAGTACTGTCGGCCTGCACAATCATGTTCGAACGGCACACGCTGCCAAAAGCGACAAGGCTCGCGTATTTTCCCGCGTCGGCCAAATGTGTGGTACAGATCGGTAAAAACGTCAACCAGAAACATGGCGCCAGGGCCAAGCATTTGCTATCATTATGGCCTATATCTGTAGCGTGGACACTGGACTAAAAAATATACATTCGCACCGTCTTTCGAGCGCTCATTTTGCACAATGGCGGATCCCATGCAGGATACCAAAGCTGGCGATGGCTCTGTTTACGAGAAGGACACCCAAATTGGGGCAAGCGAAGAGATTGAAATCGATCCAGTTGCGGAGAAAAAGGTAGACTTCCTGGATACATATTTTGGCATTATTGACTGATCAATACAGCTGATCCGTAAGCTGGATCTCATACTATCCCCCATGATGGTCATCGTCTTCTTGGTAAGAAAGCTCTGGGCTAGTAGTGAATAGTCTAGTCGGATCTAACAATTATGCCATAGGTAGCCTACCTTGACCGATCTAATATTGGTGTGTGCTCTACTCCATATCGCGTATACTATGACACCCATCCACTGACTCATATTAGGCAATGCTGCCATTGCAGGCATGAAAGAAGATCTCAATCTGACAGGCGACCGTCTCAATGTCGCTGTGACGCTTTTCTACGTAACATATATCACATTCGAACTCCCGTCCTCTCTTTTGCTTAAAAAGCTGCGTCCGTCTCGTCTGATTCCTTTCTTCATCATCAGCTGGAGTGCCGTCATCATTGGCTCGGCCTTTGTGCAGAACTATGCTGCCCTTCTCGCCACTCGCCTTCTGCTAGGGGCCTTTGAGTCAGGACTCTTTCCCTGCTTGACCTTGTACCTCAGCATGTACTACAGGCCTCTGGAGCAAGCTCGAAGGGTGTCATATCTTTTCGTTGCATCTGCACTCAGCGGTGCTTTTGGTGGATTACTGGCCTTTGGCCTGACAAACCTACATGGTGCAAGTGGACTTGCTGGGTAAGTGTCTCGCCACCGACGTAAACCGGGAAAGACAAACTGACACTTTCAATCTTGCATAGATGGCGATGGCTGTTCCTCGTCGAAGGGCTCATCTCAATTGTCGTAGGCTTCGCCATGGTTTTCCTTCTCCCAGACAACTTTGAAACGGCATGGTGGCTGAACGAAGACGAAAAGGCTCTACTTCGCGCAAGACACGAAAAGGAGCGTCTCTACCAGGGCAAATCCATGACAAGAGATGCCATGGACAAGGGCGAGGTCAAATTCGCATTCTTGGACTACAAGGTGTGGCTGAGCGCGGCGTGTCAGTTCTGTGCCAACACGTGTTCCTTTGGTTTCTCGACATTTCTTCCCGTCATCATCCGCGGATTCGGTTACTCGAGCATTCGTACACAACTCCTGACAGTACCCGTGTATATCTGGGCATCGGCAGTCTACCTCTTCATAGCCTGGTGCTCCGACTATGTCAATCGCCGCGCCTTTTTCATGGTTCCCTTGGCTTTAGTCACAGCTGTTGGCTACGCCCTGATGCTTGGGCTTCCAATGACATCAACCGCAGTGCTGTATTTTGCGACATATGTTACAGCAACTGGCATATTCTGCTGTGTCGGACTGAACGTCACATGGATCATTAATAGCAATGCTGGGTACTTTAAGCGTGCCACTGCTATCGGTCTGCAACAGTCGATCGGAAACTCGGCGGGTATCATGGCTGGCCAGATCTATCGCATCTCTAACAGCGATGGCCGCTACATGATTGGTCATACAGTTTCCATTTGCGCAATCTTGGTGGCAGCTTGTGGATACACCACCATGTACTTTGTGCTTCGTAGGGTTAACAGAAAGAGAGAGGCAATGTCCATCGATGAGAGAATCAGGCAAATCGACGCTGGGAAACTGGGCGATCGTCATCCTGATTTCAGATATACCTTGTAAATGAACACCATACACGTTTTGATAATAAATTAATTTATTCCTTTTTTGGGTCAGTCATTCTAGGCTCACGATGCAGGCTTGATACCCTTGAATGTCTTCGTAATGTTGGTAATGGCGTCTTCTACAGGCAATCGCTCCATGGAGCTTGCCCCATAGAAGCCATGCACGCCTTTTGTTCGGCTAATCGCATACTCTGCATCTTCTGGCTTCGCGATCGGGCCACCATGGCACAGGATAATGATGTCGCTCTTAATATCCGATGCTGCGTCTCGAATCTCCTGGATCAGCTTCACACTGTCATCTAAGCTCTTCCCAGAAGTAGCACCAATGCTGCCAGATGTAGTCAAGCCCATATGCGCAACCAGAATGTCTGCGCCAGCGCTCGCCATCTTCTTAGCCTCGTCGACATTAAACACGTAGGGCGTGGTCAGGAGATCCATCTCCCGCGCCATCTTCACAACCTCAACCTCGGCGTCATACGACATTCCCGTCTCTTCCAGGTTCTGGCGGAACGTCCCGTCGATCAGACCGACAGTAGGGAAATTCTGTATACCCGCGAAACCAAGGTCTTTGAGCTGCTTGAGGAAACGACTCATGTCCTTGAAAGGATCTGTGGCGCACACGCCTGCCAGTACTGGTGTTGACTTGACAATCGGCAAGACTTCGCCTGCCTAGTTCTAGGTTAGCTCCTTTCTTGCATACATGTTTGTGTTTTTCTCCATGTGAGGACTTGGTCGCTGACTGGCATTTGGGCTTACCATCTCGAGTACGACATCATTTGCATTGCCGTACGGCATCAATCCTGCTAGTGACCCGCGCCCGGCCATTCGGTATCTTCCGCTGTTGTATATTATGATGAGATCGCCGCCACCAGCTTCAATGAACTTGGCGCTGAGACCGATGCCAGCACCGGCTCCGACGATGATCTTTCCATTGTTGATTTGTGAGCGGAGGTTCTGCAAAATGGAGGACCGGTCTGTGGGAGGCGACATTTCTGTTGGAAAGTTGTTATGTCGAGCAATACAAACTCAAGGGCTAGATGGACTCTATTTGCTGGCGTGATCACGTTGAGAAGCGTAGATAAAGTGAGGATGATGACGTAATTGCTAGCGTGGGGATCTGCCTACCTATGACATGCCGAGTTGATGGACGACAACTCAATTGTTCTTTCATACATACATGGCCATGTCTTCTTCTTCTCCCTGTGTTGCGCTTCTTGGTACCTGTGATACGAAACTAGAGGAGCTGCTTTTTCTTCGAGACGTCATTCAACACAATGATGTCAGCGTGGTGCTCATCGACGTGGGCCGTAGCTCTACAAAGCATGACGCTATCAATGTCAGCCAGCAACAGCTACTGAACGAATTCGGCAATGGAATACAAGTTGGTGATCTGCCACGGGGAGAGGTCATCAAGACTATGGCGGCCTGTGCAACAAAGGCTGTCAAGAAGCTATTAGATGAAGGCAGCATTCATGCCCTGATCAATGCAGGTGGATCAGGCGGCACATCACTCGCTGCAGAAGTTATGAGGAATGCGTTACCTATTGGCTTTCCGAAGCTAATCGTTTCCACCGTAGCGAGTGGCGACACGGGGCCAATTGTCGGGGAAACAGATATTACGATGATGTACAGTGTCGTCGACGTGGCTGGATTGAATCAAGTTCTCAGAAATGTACTCAGCAATGCCGGTGCAGCCATCTCGGGTATGGCTCGTACGTATGCATCAAGAACTCAGAACAGGGCTCATCCACAGAAGAAGCGCGTTGGGATTACCATGTTTGGCGTTACAACCCCCGCCGTTGATGCGATTCGGAAATACCTGGAGTCCAACTACGACATTGAGACATATGTGTTCCATGCGACAGGACACGGAGGAAAGGCCATGGAGCGACTTGTTCGAGAAGGCGGGCTCGACGCTGTGCTCGATCTTACAACGACAGAGATCTGCGACCATCTTACCGGCGGTGTTATGAGTGCTGGTGAACATCGTTTAGAAGCCACTGCCACAGCTGGGATACCAAACATTATATCTGTGGGTGCAACGGATATGACAAACTTCGGTCCCATGAATACAGTCCCGGAACGTTACAAGAACCGCAAGCTATACGAGCACAATCCTGTTGTTACATTGATGAGGACATCCGAAGACGAAGCAGTACAAGTGGGTGAGTTCATCGCGGCGCAGTTGAAGAAGCATGCGAAAAATCCACAAGCAGTGCAAGTTTGGCTTCCCAAAGGAGGAATCAGCATGATTGCAACACCTGGAGGACCGTTTGAAGATACAAAGGCCGATAATGCGCTTTTCAATGCTATCAAAGATGGGCTTCGAACGAGTGGAATCGACATTGTCGAAGACGAGCGGCCCATAAACGACGAAGGTTTTGCGCATGATATCGCAAAAGCCTTAATTGCAAGGATGGGAATTGAACGCAAAACCACTTAGCGGTATAGCAACATTGTGCACAGCGCTATCACAGCTGCGCCATGCACCGAGAAGCTTTTCTAGGCAGGCACATGGCAAGCCTTGCCCCTGGATTCCCAGACGAGATGAAAATGGGTCTTTAGGATTCAGGCGTGCTGCGCATTGGCCAATGATCGAACTGTAATTGGTCCAGTCGGCATGCGGCAAAGATCCTCACGGCCGCCCTAAATGGAAAACTAGACTGCAGGATTTGTTTATCGCTGGACTTCTGTGTCGCCATGACTGTCTAAACTCGTTCGTTACTTTTTTTACTATTCGCCATGTTCGCGCGTACTGCCGTGCTGTCGCTCGCTCTCTCATACGTCTCTGGCAGCGTTGCTGCACTTGACTTGGACGTCAGCAGCAGAGGTAGGACAACAGGGTCACGATGTTTAAAATAGTGCCTAATGTGTTATAGACTCGATTGTTTCTGTAACAAAGACGCTCGCTAATGAGATCGTCACATTCTACAAGGAGACCCTCTCGCGTACTGGAATCCCCGGCATCTTGCCTCGCCCCTACAACTGGTGGGAAGCCGGCGTTGTGTTCAATGGCTTGATTGAATACTCAAACCTAACCAGCGACACACAATATGACTCGTTAATCTCGGAAGGCATACTATGGCAGAAAGGCGAAAACCACACCTTCATGCCGCTCAATCAAACGGAACATCCGTTAAATGACGATCAGTGCGCCTGGGCCCAGACAGCGATGACTGCTGCTGAATTTGGGTTCCCAATTCCTAACAACGAGTCGTGGGTCGATATGGCTATCGATGTGTTTGACGCCCTTACCATGCGATGGGACAGTGGGTATTGTGATGTTGGTCTTCGTGTGGAAAGATACTTTAAAGAAGGATATGATTATGCACAAACATCCGCAAACAGCGACTTCTTTTTACTGGCTTCTCGTCTGGCACGCTTCACCGGCAACGACACGTATGCTGAGTGGGCGGAGAAGATCTTTGACTGGGCAAAAGAGATTGGCTTAATTACGGACGATTACAACGTCTATGGCGCTAGAAGGGATTGTACCACGATCAACGACATCCAGTGGACATATGAGCACGGTCTGTTGACCGAAGGTGCAGCTGTGATGTACAACATTGTAAGTACTTGTCTTGTGGAATCATGGAATGCTGCTAAGCAACTGGGTTAGACAGGAGGAAAGCAAAAATGGGCCGACGCAGTCAAGGGGCTTGTGAACACGACATCGGTCTTCCTTGAAGATGGCATTTTCACGGAGACTGTCTGCGACGAGGGCGGCCGCTGCGAACCGGATAATCGGGCGTACAAAGGCGTCGCCGCTCGCTCCTATGCCCGCGCCGTGGTAGCCGCACCCGCGGTGGCGGATTCCCTTGACAAGATGTTGGTAATTGCTGCTGAAGCCGCGGTCGCAGCATGTAATCACACTGGGACAGCAGAAGTGCGATGCTCGCAGTCCTGGGTCGAAGGAGGCAGATGGTCGGAGTTTGGCAAGGCTAGTGACGGCAACCTGGGGGACATTTTCAATGCAATGGAGGCTGTGCAGGGTCTGCTATATTTGCCAGCAAAGGCACGAGTACCTATGAATATCACGGGCGGACCGGAGGATAAGGGGGATACCGGCGCATCGGAGAAGGCGGATGGTGCGAGTGGTGCGGGTGCGAGGGCAGCGGGCATCACGGCCGTCTTGGCTGTCGCTTTCGCGGCGGCCCTGATGTGCTAGTCACCTGCGTCCGATACAGGCGTAACGCAGAGTCGCTCATGTGGCATTGTACGTATGTGGATCAGAAATCCTGCGGCTTTTCAGAGAGTATACATACCATACTAGGCTACAATTACCGTTCATGAACACGTGATATGGATCGAGTTTCCTAATGCGTGCTTGGCTGTCCCGCGCTGCGAGCTCGGCTGTCCTGGGATTCTTAGTAAGCAGCTTTACATATGTAACAACCAAAGTTCTCTAAACCCACCTAAGAATAGTCTAGCATGGCGTGAGCAGTCGTGGTCTGGAAATTCTTCAGCTAGGATAGATAAGCGCTAAGCCGCTTAAGGCTAACGATGCGTAGGCTGGTGTCGTGATATCTTTCCAGACAGGTCAACTCGGGGAATGCTCTTGGCACTATTAGCTAAGCATCTCCGGGGACAGCCGAACTTGTAGCGGGGGACAGCCGAGCTATGAAGTCAGCTTGCAAGGATACCCTGCCAAGGCTCGGCACGCGAGCCAATCGTAGCCAGGGATGTGTTTTGCGGGCCTGCCCTTCGCAAGCAGCTCCGAGCTTTCGGCAACAGCCATTTCCAGCACTTCCTCTCCTCCCCTCCTCCCCTCATTTTAAGACGCCGTATCCTGCGTGCGTTTGCAATGGCATCAATCATGGACTACCTGCCCTATGCGGTGGCTGTGGTCGCCCTCGTGGGCGGCTACCTCGCATACGCCAGCGCCAGCAGCTGTAAGAGCATTTCTGTTGGCGCTCCCAAAAGAAACCCTTCCGGCTAACCTACCCACCAGCACCCCGCAAAGTGCTCAAGCCCACCGAGTTCCAGGAGTTTGAGTTAGAGCACAAAGAAGTTCTCTCGCACAACACAGCCATCTACCGCTTCAAACTGCCTCGCCCAACCGACATCCTCGGTCTCCCCATCGGCCAGCACATTTCGCTCGCTGCGACTATCCCCGGCCAGCCCAAGGAAGTCGTCCGCTCCTACACACCCATTACCTCAGACGAAGACAAGGGCCATGTCGACCTGCTCATCAAGTCGTACCCTACGGGCAACATCTCCAAGTATGTTGCGAACCTCAAGATTGGCGACAAGATGAAGGTCAGGGGGCCCAAGGGCGCCATGGTATACACTCCCAACATGGTTAGACACTTTGGTATGATTGCCGGCGGTACCGGAATCACTCCCATGCTGCAGGTCGCCAAAGCTATTATGCGCGGACGGCCGACGGGCGACAGGACCGAGGTTGATCTCATCTTTGCCAACGTGAACCCCGAGGATATTCTGCTCAAGGACGAACTCGATGCGCTAGCGGCCAAGGACCCCAAGTTCAGGGTGCACTACGTACTCAACAACCCACCCGAGAAGTGGTCTGGTGGTGTCGGCTTCGTCACTGCCGACATGATCAAGGAGAAGCTTCCTGCGCCCGCCAAGGACGTCAGGATTCTCATCTGTGGACCACCGCCCATGGTTGCTGCCATGAAGAAGGCTACCGAGAGCCTGGGTTTCGACAAGGCCAGGCCTGTTAGCAAGCTTGAGGACCAGGTCTTCTGCTTCTAAGCAATCAAAATCCCGCGATGGGTAAAAGGAAACGGTAATGGGGTGGTGTCTTTCGAAAAATGTTGATTAGAATCTGCGTCTTGAGCGAATTGATTACATAGTACGAATGAGCAACTTCCTATGATGTTTGAACTCTTTACTAGTACACTAGGCTCCACTTTCCCTTTCTATCCTTGACAATTGCATCATATTAACTACAGTGCCTGGCTAGTCTCCACTACGCAATCCTCACTACCGACAACATCAGCCTACACATCTCCCTACATCCCATACTAAGAACTCAGCTCTGGCGTCCCTACGACACCCCATCTTCACCACCACCTCCATCCACCTCCGCACTCCACCCACACTCACCGAAACACCCTCATCCATCCCCCACGACGTTCCCCTCCTCGGCCAAACCGCCCTCATCACAGACGCCACGAGTCCCATTGGCAAAGCCACCGCATACCAATTAGCCAGTCTAGGCGCCTCAATCGCACTACACTACCACTCGGATCAAGCCGGCACCGCCGCCCTCCTCCACGACCTCACCACGCGTTACGCCGCGAAATTCCGCTCCAAATTCGACGGCTGGAAAGCGGATTTGACGGATTACGATGATGTACGCTATGCCAATCCCAGCAACGCTTCTCGCGCTGTCGTAGTACCAAGGCACACGTCGCTGGGGAATTATGAACTAATAGTTAGAGTGGTGAGTAGGTCCGCTCGCTGCATGCGCGTGTTACTTCCACGTTAGGCGCTCCTGGGATCCTTTTGGTTTCGAGTGCCAAGTCGAGCATTGTGCGTCGCGGCGATGTGGTCTGCGGCACCGACATGCACGTGGGCAGTTCCGAGGGCGAAAGTATAGGTTGTGAGAAGTGCGATTCTGCAGTTTTGTTACTCGCGCAGTTGTGTCTTGCTGCAATCAAACAGGCGGGGTGGGGTCGCGTGGTGTTTGTGGGTTGGCGAGATGGGTAAGTATGCTTGCCTTCTTTGGGGGAGGGATAAGCGACGGGTGTATCCTTAAGGGTGGTGGTGCGTTTGCCGGCAAGAACTTGGCTGTATGACTGACTGGCGTATTTGCAGATCTTCTGACTCGGCTTTACATGATTTGACGCACCGACTTGCGGATACATATGCGGGTACGGGTACGGGTACGGATAGGAGTATCACGGTGAATGCACTTGCGCTCGTTGCAGATACAGACACGAAGGCTATATCTGGACATTCGCCTCTGGAAATGGAGAAACGTATGTTCTTTCTCCTTTTTCCCCTTTTCCATCATCTTCCTTCATCTTTCTCATTACCCTTACCCCTTCTTTTTTTTTCTTGTGCACTTCATTACCCACCACTATTTCCTCGCAACTCGCAACTCGCAACTCGCAACTCGCAACTCGCAACTCGCGTACAAGCTAGCCTGCTCTAACCCACCCGGCTAATCATGCACACACACACTCACAGCTGCAGAAGAACAAGACGAAGACGAAATTGCTGCCAGACATCCGAGCAACGCAGCAGACATTGCAAACATGATTATCAGGATACTAAGCACGAGGCATGTGACGGGCAAAGTTGTTACTGTGCATGGGGTGTTGGTACCGCGGTGAGAGAGAGAGAGAGAGGCAGGGGTATAAGGGGAAAGGGGAGGGAAGCATGAGAAAGCGAGAGATGAATACGATACCTAAAATAATATCCCTAAGTAGTCGATTCGATTAAGTATTCTAGTCCAAAATCCCTGTTTCCTGCTCACCATTTTATGTTCTTCATCGGTGTGGGTTCGTCGGGAGTGAGATATTCAATGTATGAATACACACTCCTCCTCCTCCTCCCCTTCGTCTTCTTCTTCTTCTTCTTCTCAACTTGAACTTAACACCCCCCCCCCTCCTTCTTTTACATTTCACCAAAGCAGCTGTTTGAAAGACCATAACATAACAGCACAGCATAGTACAGTAAACGCAACTCGAAAGACGGAATTCAGACAAGACAAAACAAGACAAGACAAGACAAGACTAGAGCTCAAAATCACAGAGCAGCATCTTATACCTATTCATTTGCGGTATCGCTGACTATTATGTATGCATGTATCTCCCGTCTCCGTCTCCGTCTCCGTCTCCCCATCTCTCCCTGTGCCCCTATGTCTCTCTCTCTCTCAATCAATCAATCAACCAACCAATCAACCAATCAACCAGTCCGCCCGTCCGTTATCCCCCCTCCTCCTCGCACGCTCCCAATACAATGCAATTCCAAAAGAAAAAAAAGTAGGAATTTCAAAGTGAAAAAAATTCCCTGCATACACGCCCCCCCCCCGCGCGCCTCGCTTGGAATCCAAGCAAAGTGCGAGTAAAGTGCGAGCAAAAGTGCCCCCCACTTTTTGTTGTTGCTGTTGTTGTTGTTGTTGTTGTTGTTGTTGTTGTTGTTGTTGTTCTTGTTGCTGTTGTTGTAGGTACAAAGAAGGGTATGGTATGGTATGTCATGTATGTACGAAGCATCAAGGGGGTGGTGGATATGGCAGTAAAATGCTTTTCTCGTGCTACACAGCTGGATCCAAAGTTTGCCTACGCTTTTACTCTACAAGGTCATGAACATGTGGCAAATGAAGAGTTCGACAAGGCTACGACAGCCTATCGCAACGCCATCAGCGCAGATAACAGACATTACAACGGTTGGTATGGTCTCGGCAACGTCTATGAGCGCCTGGGCAAATACGAGGTAGCTGAGAAGCATTATCGGGCAGCGGCCGAAATCAACCAGAACAACGCCATGATCCTTGTTCGAATTGGTCTTGTAAGTCATTCACATTGTTTGCCTCCTTTGCCGCTGACGCTTCTACAGGTTCTGGACCGCATGAAGAAAATCGAGCCCGCATTATTGCAATTCGAGAACGCCATCAGAATCGACCCACGCTCAGTCATGGCTCGTTTCCGCAAGTCGCAGGTCCTGCTCAAGCTCAACGCGCCGCAAGAAGCTCTCAAGGAGCTACTGTATCTCAAAGACGCTGCGCCAGACGATCCAAACATCCATTTCCTGCTGGGTAGATGTTACAAGAAACTGCGCGATCGCTCCAGCGCAATCCGCCATCTCACCATTGCCATGAATCTGGATCCAAAGAGTCACGGGGTTATCAAAGAGGTCATGGAGAGTATTGATCAAGACGACGACGGAGGATGGAGTAGTGAAGATGAGCATTGATAAATCTTTTTTTATTGTCCCTTTTTTGGGGGTTATTTTTTTTCCCTCCTCTCTTACGAAACCCTCTTCATGACCTCCCTCGTCCCCGACTTTTTTTGTTTCCCACAAAAAAAAAGACTCTCTCTCTCTCTCTCTTTCTCTCTTCTTCAGCATCAAGGCATCAAAGCATCAAAGCATTAGCATCTTGGCATCAGCATCGGAAATCACGCTTCTTATCATGCACCTCCCTCCTCTCACCCACGCACCTTTTATCCAGCAACAGAAATGAAGAGGTCCTCTTTTTTTTTGAACCAATTATCAGCTTCTTTTTTCTGATACATGTAGCTTCATTGCCACAATCCACAATCACACTTGTACACATACACTAGGCTACACACTACCAAAACAAGCCCCTTTTTTGGGGGGGGGGGGACTTTGAGCGCTTATCCTGTCTCCTCCTCCTTCTCTCTCTTTCTCTTTCTCTTTCTCTTTCTCCTTCCTTGTATGCTCGTCGTCGTGCTGTCGATCCAGCGAACTAGCATTGCCAAGTGCACACCAGGCTTGTGGAGAGAGTCGATCTTGATCCATGAGTGTGTGAGCAAGATGGCCCAGAGCTACTTCGTCTTTGAGTTGCCAGAGTGTGTTTGAATATACTTCCATGTGCTCCAGTGACGAGGGCGCCATTTCCCGAATCTTCCGGAACGTATTCCCTGCGTCTGCGTAATGTGTGCGCTCATAGTGAGCTTTGCCGATTTGTGCGAGGACCCAAGGCGTCTCGCGCTGAGCCTTGGGCACTGCTGCAAATGCTTCCAATGCCTTTGATGCATCGTAGCGACTCAGATGCCGATATCCGGAACCAATCTTGAGAAGTAAATCTAGCAGCCAGTTCAAAACCTCCCGCTCCCGGGACGTATCGGTCGTTTGAGCCATTCTCGGAGGCGGAGCTACAGCGACCGCCGCCCCACTGGCAGGCCTGTTGTCGGGTTTTGATGGCTCCAATGTATCAACGTGCGGTTTTCTGTTCCCACTAACAACCCTTCCTACAGTTGAAGTGGTGCCTGACCGTGCTTTGGGGGCCGCAGCTCTTGCCTTTCGTAACTCGCGCCGCTCTTTTGACTCGATATCCTTGGTTGATGTTGCTCCTTGCCTAGGGTTTGATGGCCGGATCTGAGTAATGGAATTAAGCAGGCGCACACTGCGACGTGGAGGCGCTGCTGTGGGATCTAATGGTTGTTGCTGCGGCGGGTTCTGCGGCTGGTTTAATGAATGACCAGACACGGTCCTCTTATGTCCGTTCTGGTATACAGGTCGTGGGATATCTGTTTGATCGACCTCGGGATTTGTCTTTGTGCGTGCTCTCGAAGTGACGGGGCGTGACATGACAGGGCCGCCGGTCTCGCCCATCATAACATGCTCATCGTGCATGTTTTGCCCGTTTGCTGCCGGTGTGTCGAAGTCATGATGGGAGCTCGTCTGTGTAGTGCGGCCGTTTAATTTGGAAAGCAGATTCGTTCCTCCCATGTTAAGTCCACCGTCACCGGACTGTCTGGAGGAGGTATTGAAGGGGTCGATATCGGGCTTCGGGGCAAACGGAAGCATATCGGGGGTGATTTTGAAGATGTTGTGAGGTCGGACTACAGCGCCAATGTCGCAGAGGCCGGTGAATGCATCCCACATGAAGGAATTAATCTTGAGCGCCTCGACAAAGTAGTCAATGGCTTTTCGGGTATCGCCGTGTGCTGCGTATAGCTTTCCCAGCAAGCAATAACAGGCGGCCGCATCCGGCACATGTCGCCGCGATGTCTCAGAATGCTTGTCTGGGCTTCTGGTTAGCAGGCTGGGGGCTGGGGGGGGGCCATGAACTACCTACTCCAGTGGTTGCGCCCTGCCCACAGACTGCGCACCTTTTCCAGCGCCTGGGCTCCTTGCTCATGGCGGCCAAGGGCGAGACAGGCATGGGCGAAGACGTAGGCGCATCCCAGATGCTGTGCGTGCATTCCTTTGGCTCGCGCATCGTCAAAGGCGGCCTTGTATCTGCCGAGGCGAAGGTTACAGAGCGCGAGCAGATGCGCGGCATCTGGGTTGCGGGGTTCGAGAGCCTGGAGGCGACCGGCGAGAAACAGGGCGTTTTCGACAAAGCCGTTGTCGAGGTGGTAGTATACAAGCTGGCGCAGCTGGGCATTGACGCCGGGCGGGGGTGACATGCTTTTCCGAGGGGCAAGGCGAGGTCCTAGGCTGGAGGGCTCATAGTCCAGAGAATCATGGGGGAGGAGCAGGGGCGGCGGGTTGGCTGGGTCGAGGGCGCCGGCGTGGCGAGGGAGAAGTCGTGGGGAAGGCGTGTTGTGGTGAAGGTCGATTGTGTGTCTCGGTGGCTATCAGTGGTGAGACTGGCGGTGTGTTCGACAAAGCGAATTGGTAAACACGGGTGCGCACGGCTGGGACAAGCGTAGAGGACGAGATAGAATCCAGACGAGTGTGTACAGAGAAGCGGCGGCGGCGGCGGGATGCGCGACGTGTGTTGCTGGCCTTGGTCGCGATGCAGGTTGCGCGCGCTTGTTATGGCGCACGGGCCATGCACACCCACAATGCCTCTGACGATTCCGCCGCCGCCTGTCGTCGTTGGACCACAGCAAAGCCCGCCGTCACCATGGCCCAGGTATGTCTCGACGCCACCGCTCGCCGACACTCGCTCATGCCGTGATGACTAGAAAGCCACCAAGACGCTTGCCGCCTCCAACACCAAGCGCCTCAACCAGACGCTCTACGTCACCCTCGCCATCCACGGCTTCTGGTGGTTGCTTCGCGCCCTGCTCTTCCGCGCCTCTCTGTCGCGCCAGTCGATCCTCGTCTATCTGGCCCTCTCGGCGCCGCAGCTGCTCATCCAGCTGTACTTTGAGCGCCTGTCTCGCCCCACGCTCACGGCCGATGGCGCCGTCAAGCGACCGGGCGAGGACCTCGATGCCCCAGGCCTGACCGAGTACATGTGGGACGTGGTCTACTGGACCTACGGCTGCATCGTCGCCGCCGCCATCGCAGGCGACTATGGCTGGCTGCTGTGGGCTGTCATGCCCGCGTACAGCGCCTACGCCGCCTGGAGCACCTACTCGGGCATGCGGGGGGGCTTCCAGGACGCTGCAGGTGTCCCGCAGCCGCAGGCAAGCAAGAGGCAGGCCAAGATGGAGAAGCGAGGTGGCCAGAAGGTGCAGTACCGGTGAAGACAAGAGTCACATCCGGGCCTTGTTTGGGAGACGGACCTGCATCCAACAACCCTCGACATGTAGACCTGGCCCTAGTCACACGTGCGCTGTCAGGGATACGTAGACTTGAATCATACAATACGTTACACATCATACCAGCCCACACCACGACGTGCGCACGAGCTTCGTCATGTCCGTCGTTGCCGTCGTCGTGTGGACGCGTGCTTTCATCATGTAATATTACACTAAGGCGGAGCCTATGCTTCGACGCGCGTAGGAATCTTGGGTATACCTCTCTTGCGATCCTGGTGCGGTACACCATACCGCCAGCCAGCCGCTGCCGCTCCTCTTCCATCGCGCCCTGCAGCCTCGACGCTGACATCCTGGATGACGAAATCCCACCTCCGCTTCGGCACCACCTTCATGGCCCTCAGCTCCTCTTCCCTTCTCCTTTCCTCCCTCTTCTTCTTCTCCTGCTCCTTCTCTAGCCGCTCTTCAGCAAGCTTTCTTCGCTCTTCGAAAGAAAGACCCGCCTCAAGCTCGCGCTCTGCTTGCACCAGCTCAGGGTGAGGAATGCGGGCGTCGGCCGGCAGCAGGTTGTTATCAAACGCCTTGCCAGCATCGGCACGCGTGAAGCGGCGCGACTCTGCAACGGGCACAAACAGTTGCTGACGAGTCGCGGGGTGTACAATGAGGTCATTGATAGGCTCGTGCGGAATGGGCCGCTTGCCTTTGTTTTGCGGTAGTGAGGGGTCGACATATGGTGTTGTGGGAAGCATGGAGAGGACACTCTTGGAGTAGGGCAGTGCAAGTTTCTTACCCTGGTGACCATGTGTTAGCAAACATCTTTGAATGCATTCTAGTCCAAGCCATAGAGGGATGACGACGTTCAGCAAGAGCATGACTTAATTTTTGTAACCATGTGGGTGTCTTAAAGACTAATCGATTTTTTAAGAAGCTCATCATGTCGTGGAGAGAGGGAGAGAGAGAAAATGTGCGACATACCTGGGCTATCCACTCCTTCTCCATCTGCTTCAACCGCACGACGGCACCAACACGCTCATTGCTGACGCCAAACTCGACGCTAGCGAGCGATACTGTCGCGCCGTCCTTTTTAACTCTCTGGTAGATTGCTTCGCGAAGGTCTTCGCTCAGGACGGGTTGACTGCGAAAGTACTTGTTGAGGGGGAATGGCCGCAAGTCTTCTTCCGTTTCTGGCTGAAGCTTTGTGCTGTCGCCCTCTTCGCCCGCCTTGCCGAATGGCTCGGTTTCGGCCTTTTCAGGCTCTGCGTCATCCGGCTTCTCCTGGGCTTCGGATGTCGTCTCCTCGGTCGATTCTTCCGCCTGAGATTCTAGGTCGGGCGTGTCTGCCTTTGCAGCTCCCTCCTTGCCGAATCCGGGACCCGCGCGCACCAGGTTGCCATACTTGTCATAGGCTCCCAAATAATTTGTCGCGTTGGGTATGGGCTCTTTCAGTCCCCGGCCAGGCCCATTGAGCCACTCATAAAATTTCCGCCGCCGTAATGTCACTTGTGGACATGGTGTCTGTGAGAAGCTACGCGATTGCCGTGCTGGTAGAGACACGGCGTGTGGCCTCGTGACGGCACATGAGGAAATTTGCGATGAAGCAGCTGATGCAGAAAATTTTGGAGACTGTAACCGGGGAGGCATGTTGGGTTCAATTGCGCTACCGCATTGGCGTAGACAAGTAGAATACAAGAGGAGAAGAAGAAAACGAAAGGAGGGGGAGGTGAATGGGGTATGGAGGAGGTGATGTGGTTGGGTGACAAGTATGGGTAGCTCGTAGAAATTCTGAAGCCCGCGACCAGTGACTAGCGTCTTGGCGTGCACACCCACACGAGGCCTCTGCTCTGCTGGAGCGGCGCAACGCAATAGCAAAGTTGGATTCGCCGTTGCGAGCAAACTCAATTCCACCCACACACATCAATTGAGCATTTCCCAACCGCTCAACCGCAAAAGCAACGGCATCACTCGCACCAAACCAACTCTACTTGGACTCCATTTGCCTAACGCCGTAATTTGCACTTAAAAAGGGTATTGAGTAAATCGAAGCCGTTACATGCACAGCCGAAGCCGCTGCGGGGAGACCAGGGGTGAAAAACGCGAATGCCAAAAAAATCAATATGCTGTAAAGACAGAATGGTGTCCAGCCCCGGCATGCCGTGGAGCCGCATGCGCATCTATCATGTAAATGAAACCGTGAAAATGAGACGAAACCCGGGTAAACCAACCGAAGAGCCCACCATGCAAAGACACCAGCACCTGCATGTTCCGCTAATCAATCCTAGAGAGTCCATGCACATTAAGAATCGATAGCGCCAGACGATGAGTACCAATGACCAATGTACTTGGGAAGAACAAGGGATAGGAAAGAAAAAAAGATATGAAACCCAAGAGTACGCCCACAATACGAACATGGCAGTGTCCATAGCATCCAGCTTTCCCGGCAACAGGAGAGAAGAGATATTCTGGGGTGAGTGCAAGTTGAAGGACCATGCGATGTAAGCGAGGAAAGCGAAGAAAAACGAAAAGAAAACGAAAAGAAAACGAAAAGGAAATGAAAAGAAAGCAATCTCCAAACTCCGGGGAGGGGGGGGGGGCGGGGGGAAAACAACCAAATGAGCAATCGCACAAGGGGGAATCATCGCTGTATGCTGGAAAGAGGTCCACGTCCAACGGGCATGAAAGCCCAGGAGATTCCGCGCCAGTATCCATGCCCTATGAAGCCAAATTCAACCCAGAACAACACTCAACACCTCGCCATGAACCGAAATGACTGAAAATAGTGGCAACAAGAGACGAAGCAAATTTTGCAAATGCTCAGTGATGGATGCGCCGTCAACTCCGTGATCATCACTCGTAATGGCATAGCAGATTTTCATGGCGGCGCGGCTAGCGGCCCATCATGAACGACGAGTAGCCTCCAAAGCTGTTTCCGGCACCGCTGGATGCTAGTGGCTGGGG